GAGCCAACCAGCGGCGAACGCACGTGCAGGAAACATGGCTACTTCACAAGGTTGGTGGCGAGGCAATTCCACTCAAGGCCCACGGAAGAGTAAGCACGGTACTCTGACGATGGAAGTGAGTGTGCTTTTGAAACGTCAGTCCAAATACAATTTGGTCCACGAACCCGCCCCTTCTTCTTCCTCTTCCTTGGGAGACGATACACTCAATTTACAACATGAATATTTGTCTAAAATTATGAAGAGTAAAATAAGTGGCGCACGCGACTACCTGAGAAAAGATGAAAGGATCCACTGTGTTTATTGAAGACTTATAAATGTCCTAAGCTGTCACACCGAGGATTTTGTTTATCGATAAATGTTGAGCGAAAGAGAATTGAAAGCTGAATTCCGTAAGTTCTCCGCTTATCGCTTTTTCGTAGGACTGAAGCCCAAAATAAAAAACGTTTTTGAACTGGAGTTGAAACATCACGTTGCGTAACTGCCTGCTATCTGAGTTCAGCAGCTGTGCCTAATGAAATGTATACCTCAAAACGTGTGATTAATATAACCACGTATTTGCTACTGAAAAGACCGTACTACGACTTAAATATCGGATGAAACATTCAAATTGCGAGAAACCTGCATCAGCATGGTTAAAAGGCTGATTCAACTAGACAGTTTTATCTAGAAAGTGGCAATCTGTCCGTTTTAGAGCAGTCTAAGGAAGGCAAAGGTTAGAGTAGTAGAAGTATTTTAAAAAAGTGATGGAAAATACGCGCAACTTTTAGGACTGAATGACATTGTAAATTTTGGCTTTCCGTCCAGGAAGCTATGCTATGATACCTAAGGAAAAAAATACAAATTCCAATAAGCTGCGGAAACGCTTGTCGCATGTTACCCAACTGAGGAGCTAAGCGTTGGGCTTATGCCAACCTTCGCCGACGTTTTATGGGTCACCTATGAGAAGATATTTAAATAAAGTTGACTAAGATGGAACATGCGTGGATGATATACTCACGATTGTTAGTAACAATCAACCAACATTCAATTCAATAACGAACTCTGTTTTCCACAAACATCCCTGGAAAGGGCAATACTTACATTTTACAAGATTAGTGCCAATACAATGGAAAAATGCGGTGATATTTCATCAGAATAAAAATATCCCGACTCCTTTATCCTACTGTGTCCAAGCAGTTTGAACTCTGGTGTGCACAGTTAGTTAGTTGCAGATCTTCATCCCATTCACTCATGCGGGTGGAGTAACACAATTGACGTCTTATTGTCAAGCTGATGTCGACTCTCAACAACATGATTGGTTACACGGCAAATATGCAATGGATTTTATGCCGTGCACGCGGACGAATGACCTGGCTGTGCCTTTCCCTCATCTTCACGTAGAAAACAATTAATCTTGCCTTCTTAAGTGAAACATCCTGGCATGCGCTGTTTGCATTTCCTGACATTTTGCTTTACGAGATACTATTCTGCAATTTTTTAGGATATGGTTATGAAATAGATGCACATCTTTTATGCTCACTACGGATACTATAATGACTGGATAAGAAGTATTCGGGATAAAGTAACTATAATTGTGGCCTATACTTATTAGGGTAACAAAGTAGTTAAGCTGATCAACTAATTCAGTAGATGTTTGAAAATCAGAGAAAGGAAATTCAGCGAAAAGTTGCGGCTGCCGTCCAAGTAAAAAGGGTATAAGGGTAACAAAGGAAGTACCTAATAAACTAATTCAGCAGATGACTCCAACTCAAGGAGAAGAAGGTCAGCGAAAATATGAAGCAGCACCTCAAGTAAGGAATCCTTCCTATCACTCAATCCTTAAATAGGTAAATGGACCTGAATCAGCGTTTGTGCGCAGTAGAAACGTTTAGCGCCTCCTCTTACGTATTCCTAGTTAGGATATTTTGGCTATCCTGTCCTCTTTGCTCCTATCCTTGCCATTTTGTGTGCCACGTTTTGAGTATCCTGACAGCAGCG